ACCTGTACAGGGTTTCCGAGGAATGGCTGGTGAATTTAAGCCACCGACCTTGCAGTCCAGTGCATTATTCCACGGTGCCATGCCATGTTATTTTATGAGAGGGCTTCAAAAATTGGTGGAAAAGTAGAATGAAAAGAAAATTAATTTTACCATGAATTTTTCAAAGCCCTTTCGAATAATTTTACCCTTCACTCTTATTAATAAATAATACAATCAATAGTGTGGTGCTGTGGCTTAATGTGCTGGACTACAAAGTTGGTTTGAACCACAAACTCAGAGGTTTGAGCTCACCAGCCGCTCCTCAGAAAACTACACAGGGTCGCTATAGGTCAGAACTGACTCGACGGCACTGAACAACAACTATTGTGTGCTATCGAGTTGGTTCTGACTCATAGTAACCCTGTACAGGGGCTCCAATCTCTACAGGTGCAGAAAGCCTCATCTTTCTCACTTGAAGTGACTGGTTAGTTCAAACCGCCAACGCTATAGTTAACATCCCAAGGTAGAGTACCCACTATGCCAACAGGGCTCCCCAATTTGTAACTAGCAGCCTCAATTTGCACACAAGCTATAGAGCAAAAATTCTGTTTAGATGTTTTATTTCCTAAGTAGGTTAAATGTGTGCTTTCTTTCACATAGACAAAGAATGTTAACATATAAATTACCTAATTATCTTAACAAACCTTCTCCACAAAAAAAGAGAAATTTCCTTCCAAATCATCCTAAATTCCCAATTAGACTTGAAAGAAATAATATTTTTTATTTTGACTGGAGTTGACAATTCTGCAGCTAGCATGCTGTCCAACTTTGAAGACCCCAGGTACTTCACAAAGCACTCACAGTGCAGTAAGCGACAATACTAACGTCCATGTTCAGACTGTGGGTCACCCAGAAATTAACTAAGATATTTCAAATAGATCTTTCAAAAATGCTTTCTTTGGAATTTTAGGAGCTAATACTACTTTTGACAAAAACCATGCAAGTACAGGATTATTCCCTACTATACAACCACACGCCTCTTCCAGGCCTAAACTTTCCAACATTTCCTTAAATCTCCACCCACAAATAGGACTGTTCACAGAATCACTCTGGAATGGACTGTCAAGTAATTTGCTTTAACTTAAATAGATTACCAAGTTCCTAGACTACAAACTGGGTCTTCAAATTCTCAAACTGTGACTATATTCTCTTACAAAATCATGCTTTTATAGATTTTATTCAAATCTGTAAGAATTTGGGGCTTAAGTCAATAACCCAATTTACTTCAGGGGCTAGGCTGAGTGGCAGATAGTCTCATTTCAAACTCCTTTCCCTTTATAGACTCTTAGTTTGCAAAGTAAAAAACAAAAAAACGGAGAACCACATTTCCCAGACTCTTGCAGCTAGTATTCTGGATATGGTCTAGTTTCTGCCAAGCAGATGCAGCCACACAAGACCAGGAAACAGGGAGTGAGTAACACAAGGCAAAGTCCACCCACAGGGAGAGAGAGGGTTCTTGCAAACAGTACTGAAGATATTTGGTTTTCTGGTATAGAGTTGGGGGCAGTCCTCGAGACTTCTCCAGTGTTAAACAGCATGAGACTTCTGTATGAGGTGACTGGTGGCAGGGGTTTCTGCTGGAACTGTCTTGTGGGATGGTTTGGCATTTCTCTGGATTGCTTTTTCTGGTACGGAGAGCTCTAAAACCTAGTTCCACAATCCTCATGACAAATGCCATAAGCAAACATCCCTTCTAACAATCCCTTTCTGTAACTGTAATGGACTGCACTTTCTGGTTCTGATCTCATGGAAAGAGCACACTAAAGAAAATTTCCCAGGACAAGAATGTCGTATTTTTTCAGCTACAGAGGAGTAAGTCCCATAACCACTTAACACAGAAATTTGAGCCTTTGAATTTACCCAGATAGATTCTACTATCGACTTACCCATTTACAGCCCCACAAAATCCCGAGACATACCTGTCATCTTTATTTATCTGGTCACCAAATCCCACAGTGTCGACGATGGTTAACTTCAGCCGTACATTGCTTTCCTGAAGCTCGTAACTTCTGGCTTTTAACCGGACACCTGGCTCATTGTGGGTTGCTGGGTCACTTTCAAATTTAGTGTTGAATAAAGTGTCCATCAATGTGGATTTGCCAATGCCTGTCTCACCTATATGTACATGAAGGGAAAATAAGAGAATGTGTCAAAAGCAAAAACAGGATTTTTTCAAAAAGTCATTATCACAAGAAATCTTACCACCAAGAAATACTCAGTTCTATGTTTATAAGACGCCACCCTAGAAATGCTTTATTAAATTTCAGAAACTATTGGGAAGAAAAGATTTAAACTTATAGATCAAGATCTTTACCTCTGGGTGGAGAAACTGTACGTGTACGCTGGTTTGTGGTCAGTTTGCAAGTTACAATAATTGTACTTTTCCTATCAGCAGTTCTGCAGGAGAAAGATGAGGCGTTCTGCTACCGTAAAGATTTATAGCCTCAGAAATCCTGCGCAGGGTCACTGTGAGTCGGAATGGACTCCATGGTACTTAACAACAACAACAAATGTTATGTGTGGCACTGTAAGATAAGCACTGGACTGCAAAGTCAGTTTGCACTTCAAGGTCAGCTGTTCAAATGTGCCAATTGCTCCTCAGAAACCCTATTACAGGGTTGCTGAGTCGGACCCAACTAGACGGCACTGAACAACAATGAATGTTATTATAGGAACTCTGGTAGCATAGTGGATTACGAATTGGGCTGATGACCTTAAGGGCAGCAGTTCAAATCTACCAGCTGCTCTGTGGAAGAAAGATGAGGCTTTCTGCTCCTGTAAAGAATTACAGTCTCAGATACCCTATACAGGATCGCTATGAGTTGAACAGACTTCATGACACATAACTACTTCATGGCACATAACTACCACCGAAGTTCATCAGGAGTCCTGGTATAGCACTGTAAGATAAGCACAGGACTGCTAACCCCAAGGTTGGGGGTTCAGACCCACCAGCTGCTCCTTGGACACCTATATAGGGTCACTATGAGTCAGAACTGACTCTATGGCATCTAACAACAGCAAATGCTATCACTAAAAATTATATAACTGAGCTTCTGCTACATAAAAAAAATATTCCATTTACATTGGAATGATTATCTAATACCATCCAGTGTTATCCCAAAGAAGTTTATTTTTCAAAACAACACTGTTGATGTTAATCCCACTACTGACTTAATAGTGGAGTGCTTCCTATGTGCTAGGTCCTATGGCAAAAGTTTCCAATGCATTATCTTACTGAAACCCTACTACTTACTGCCCCTGTGAAATAGGTACAATTATTCCCTCTACTTTATAGTTGGGGTACTAAGTTCTACACAGAGTTTAAGTACCTTACCCAAAGTTGCATAGTGTAGTGGCAGAACCAGGGTTCTAACCCAAATTCGTAAGATCCTACCATCCACAGTTAACAAGTACAGTTCATCCTAACTTTTATTATTAAGGAGAAGACTGGATGCTAAATATTTTCCAGCTATGGTTAGCAGTCTATGTGACTCTTTCTCTATTATCTCTAAATCATCTTTCTAAAGGTCTAAAGGTTGGCAGTTGACACCTACCCAGTCGTGCCGTGGGAGAGAGGTTTAGTGATCTGTTTCCATAAAGACTACAGTCACTGAAAGCCCTATGAGCCTTCCTGCAGCCAGTACCTACTATGTATGTACTGGGCATTGCACTAAACCCTATAGATACATCACTGAACTAGCAAAATATGGTATTCTCCAGTAGTTTCAATCTGGCCTGTAACATGATTAAATTCCAAGCAGATCTTATAGATTTTAATTTATTATTATATAGAAGGTATCCCAAGTGTCTGCCATAAGTACATTCCTGTTAGGAGCAAGACCAAGACCATACTCCATGCCCTGTGACTTAGTTGCTAGTTCACCACAAATATGACCATGGCTAAGCTCTGGCCCAAAGGCAGCCATAGATGCCTGATGATTATCCTACGAGACAGTGAGCCATATTGGAGGGTGATCAGTCTATCTAATCAGCTTGAATGAGAGAAAGACTCTCTGCATACAATGCAACAGCACTAAAAAGACAAGATACACAGAGAGACATGAATCTGCAGAAACCATAAGGCCGCAAGGACTGAAAGTCAGTTCCTGTTGTATCTAGACTAACCCTTCAAAGCTCCACCAATAAAAATAATATAAACTATTGTCTATTCACTAGTAACCAAACCAGCTGCTGATTCTGATTCCTGGCAGTCGCTCCTTGAGCTTTTCAGGGCCTGATCTTGCTTCCAATGCACCTCTGCAGGCACTCCAACCGCCAACCCGTGGGTTAGCAGCCAAGTACTTTAACAGTGTGCACCACCCAGGGTTACCCTAACCTTATCCAATATATATTTGAAGCTTAGACCCATGGTTCATGGCTTAACAAAATTAACTTTGAGCTGAAGAAAGGTCCTTTGTGATGGATAAAGAAATAAAACAGAGTTCCCACTCTAAAATACTTAGAATCTGGCAGGCAAGTTGATAAGGAAGGTTCTCCTTTTTAAGTACATTGTAAGCATTTTAAGTACATGTTACCATGTGTAACTTTCTCAAGTATAGTAAATGCCTTTTCTGGATTTGCAAATATTCAGGAAATGGACAAAGGGACAACCGCAGAGTTACCTTATAAAGTTCTCTCCAGTCTATCAAAGGTTCTGTCAGTAGAAAGAAACCCACTTAAATGTCAGCAATGAAGATTTCATTTCCATGGCAAAGGTTCTAGGCTAACAGGACAGAACTGAAATCATTATCTTGTTTTACCAGGCTGAAAATTACTTATGCACATGTGAACCAGTTAAGACCATCATCTTTTGAAAAATAAGGCAATTTTAATTATCGTTTACTTGAAGGTAGAAATTCTGAACAATTAGCAACCCAGATCCTACTTTAGCACAGGTTAAACAATGGACTGGGAAAACCACATTGTTGCTGTAAATTTTTTAGTGCTTTGCTTTCAAGTTCCATACGCTGTGCTTTTAAGAGCCATAATTAGACAGCACTACACTGGTATCAATATGATTGACCAAAAGCAGCTCAGTAAGAAATGGCAGCTTGTGGAAGAAGACGAATTATAGAACTGGGGACGTTTTTTAATGTATTAGCTTTTGAATCCTCTAACCTCTAAAAACAAGGTTTTTCTTCAGTTTCAGTGACCCTATGTGTAAACTTGATTCTTTCTAATTGAGTAATTTAAGGCAGCAGGACATAGGTTCCAATTCAAACCAAACACCATAATTATTTCTCAAAATAATAATATCTTGAGAAAATTAATGACTACCACTAACTCTGAACCATCTCAAAACTCCCTAGCATAGTACTCTGTGCACAGTAGACACTTAATAAAAGTTAGCTAAAATTTAAAATTACCACAATGATAGTTTATACTGATTTGTCTGTTTGGTGGATCTTTTAGAATTTATTTGTTCAATTCACAATATATCTGCCTAAACATCCAGTTGTGGGAGTAACTAAAAAATTTCCTCTCTAAGTGCTATCTGTGCCTTCCATTTTTGCTGTTCCTGCCAAGGTGAGCATGCCACCCATGTCACAGTGGAAAGCAGCCCTACTGATTCCTTTTTATTTCTGGCTCACACAATCTACAAGTGCTAAGGTAGACAGGGACACAAACAAGCAAGCAAGCAAAAAAAAAAAAAAAAAAACCCTAGAAGGATAGTATTTTTAATTAGAAGATAATAAATTGATCAAATAGTTGATCTATGATTCAAATAAGCAGACAGCATCTTTTATTTTAATTGCCAAGATGGGTTGCGTAGCTAGTTATCGAAGTCACTATGCAAGAAGGTCTGCCTGTCTCCTCGAAATTTTCTAGAACTGTGTACTTAAAGTTATGCTATTCTAACTTTTCAGAGTCACCTTTTATGAACCATGCTTTGGCACAATGCCAACAGCCTGTAAGAGGGACTTGAAAGGAACAATCACATGACACTTGGCACTGTACTGATTGAACTGATTTAGAGGATGCCCGAGAATTCAGACTACTATATCCCAACTTCTATTATTTCTGAAAACCCAGGGAGAAATGTATCCAGATAAAATTGTGTTTCATCATAAGCAACTACTAAAAATCTGTCCTATGGTAAACTTTTAGTGTTTGGCACTTAATATATGCTCAATAAATACCTATTAAATTAATAAAATGAGTGAATTACCTCCGGGTTCTAAGCTTGGAGATGAATGTGTTGCTTCATGTAATTAATTGCTAAAGGTGGGCCTGATTTTAGCCTTCAAATTCTGACTCTATTCCTGGTTTCACCTTATTTTATTAGGTTACTTTTATTGTAATTGCATGTACTCATTCATTAACTCTGTAAACCACTTTCCTGGGAAAACAGTATTGGATATAATGTTTTCAGGCTTTATCTTCAGTTCCACAATATATTTTGACTCTCAGCTTTGGCTAAAATTACCTTAAATGTGTGTTTTCTATTCCTCTTCTCTCATCTCCTCAAGACAATTACGGTTGAATTATAAAATATATTTCTGTTTTCAAAATGCATTATCAATCTGCTTTGACTCGACTATCCAACTGGGCACTCTATAGAAGTAGGTATGGTATAGTATTTTATTCATCTCTGCATGTTCACAAAGTACTGACAAACACAGAGGCTGGATCATTGTTGATGAAGCTTGACACAAAGTTCGTGTCATTTTGGAAAATCAATGAGGTAGAGACATTTAAGATTATGAAGAAAGGCTGAATCATTTAGATTATCTGGAGGAACGGAGTGTGGGTAACATAGAAAAGAATTTTTTTTAAATAAAGTACAACTCGGGGACTTACTTGGTGTATTGTAAACAGGGTGGACAATAGGGGGATTCGGAACTACTGGTGCTCAGTTGCCTGATTTAGCCTAAGAATTCTCTTCCTGATTAAATGAAAATTCTCTTTTCATTTCTTCTCAGGACCCAACAGAGGGCTTCTCATAACAGACATTTAATTTGGTATCTCTGTAACTAGATTAAGCTCATGCCAGAATCAGTTTCTCCCTCAGGTTTGTCTCCAAATTAGGACTTTAAAGACATTTTTTGAGAAAATGATCTGTTTTCCTCACTGGACTCATTCACACATCTCTTTTTTTAACCTCAATTCTCTTCCAATTTTAGCACATGAAACCAAACTAATGATGTTATAAACTTCACACAAGTGCATACTGTGTAAAAACACAAAAAATACGAATGGGCAGTATGGTAATAAGGAAATTACCATGGATACGCTTAACATAAATATGATACCTACTTTTCAAAGTGTCTGTCCAGATATTTTGATGGACTAGAATGGTTTTTAATACACTCATAATTTATAAATAAATGGGCCACTGATTGATAGCAAGAATTTCTTTTAATACAGATATTTTGCTATAATATATTTGTAGTGAAAGGATTTGATGTGCTCTATCCGTTGGAGTCCGGTGTTGCACTGTGGGCTAATACGCTAGACTTTAAAGTCATTTGAACCACAAGATCAGTAGTTCAAGCTCACCAGATGCTCCTTGGAAACCCTATACAGGGTCGCTATGGGTTGGCAACTAGACAGCACTTAACAACAACAACAACAACAATCTTTTGAGGAGCCCTGGTGGTACAGTAGTTAAGCACTTGGCTGCTAATCAAAAGGACAGCAGTTTGAACCCAGTAACCACTCCACAGAAGAAAGATGTGGCAGTCTGCTTCCAAAACGATTGTTGTTGTTGCTAAGGGCTGTTGACTCGATTCCAACCCATAGTTTCCAGGGAGCAACTGTTAGATTTGAACCACCAACCTTGCGATTAGCAGTCCAGTGCTTATCCTACTGCATCACACCAGGACTCTTCCATAAAGATTACAGCCTTGGAAACCGTATGTGGAAGTTCTAATCTGTCATTCAGGGTCACTATGAGTACGAATTGCCTCAGTAGCAATGGGTTTGGTCTTCTGGTTTAGCCTGACGATAAGTTTGCTTAGTATTTTATGTTGGTACCCACAGTGCCCAGGGAGCTAATGCTGGCTCCAACCAGAGTTTTAATGGTTTATGGAAAAGAACCAGGATAGCCAAGTGCCCAGAACTTATTGTAGAAAAAAAGAGAAAATGCAAAGGAATATAAACAGTATGCTTTCATGTATGTAAACAAACAAACAAAAAAAGAGTATGTACTCACTCATATGTAATTGTGAGAGAACTGTTTGATCTGCCTACTGTGTGTCTCTCCCATAGTCAGTCTTCTTTCTGATAAAAATTCTTTTTTCTTGTAGGGAATTGCTCATGTGTTTGGTTGGGATGACTTCCATCTCTTACCCTGGTTGGGCATGCGATCCAGCCCTGGACAACTAGAACTGTCTTGTGACTGTTCAGCCACAGTTGTAAAGAATGACTTTTTCTTGCCCCTGGAGTTGCTAAGCTGGCAGCACAAGTGGAAGCCAAACTGCTGCCATGATGAAAAAGCTCAAACACAAAGGCAAGCAGAAGCAAGCAGGACCAAGAGCCAGATATAGAGTCCTGAGCCCTGAAAATACACCATGTGAACGTCCAGTCAACTGTTCTCAGTTATACAATCCAATAAATTACCTTCTTAGTGTGTGTTAATTGGGCAAGAAGGAGCTCTGGTAGCGTAGTGATTAGGAGTCAGGCTGCTAACCTCAGGGTTAGCAGTTTGAAACTACCAGCTGTTCCACGGGAGAAAGATGAGGCTTTCTGCTCCTGTAAAGATTCACAGCCTTAGAAACCCTATACAAGGTTGCTATGAGTCGGAAACAAATCCATGACACACCACCCCATTAGTTGGGCAAGAGGGTGCTTAATTAAGTTTAAACTGGATTCTGTAATTTTTAGTGGAAAGTTTTCTAATGCATAATCAGCCCGAAAGAGATGCAACATTGCTGGTTTTCAAGATGAAAGAAGGGGCCAAGAGCCAAAGAATAAAAACAACCTATTGTTCTGACTCATAGCGACTCTGTACAGGGTTTCCGAGGCTATAAATCTTTACGGGAGCAGAAAGCCTCATCTTTCTCCCACAGAACAGCTGGTAGTTTCGAACTGCTGACCATGAGGTTCGCAGCCCAATTCGTAACCACTATGCTACCAGAGCTCTGTAAGAACAGCCTATAGAAGCTAGAAAAGGCAAAGAATTGAATTATCCAGAAAGAAATACAGCTCTTCCAACACCTTGATTCTACAACCCAGGGAGATTAATATTGGCCTTCTAACCTACAGAACTGTAGAATAATAAACTTGCATTGATTTAAACCACCAAAAATAATTTCCCAATACAGAAAGATACATGGTTTCTAGGATTTCACAGTATTGTCTTTATGGAGTGGGAATGGGGTGAATTGGCAGCGGGGGTTATATATTTTTAACAATTGTTGTTAAGTGCCATCAAATCAGTTCTGACTCATAGCAATCCTATACAGGGTTTCCAAGGAGTGGTTGATGGATTTGAACTGCAGAACTGAGCAGTCTAGTGGAAAGGGATGGATGGGCGGGGATGGGATGTGTATATATTTTTAACAATAAGCATATATTACTTTTATTAGTTTGAACAACTAATTTTAAGCATATTTTTTAATGAAACAAGAATAAAAATCTTAGAATCACAAATACTATCAATCTACTCAAGAAAGAATGAATAGCAACTGTTTTACAAAAAAGCATCAATGTGGCTTGTGAAGAATTCCAACCAGTGTCACATGATGCTATTTAGCCCAAGGGATCAGTTAGTGAGCCAACACACCCCACCACCACACCACACCACACATTCTGTCAAACCAGGGCCTTCCAGTAAATCCAATCCCATTGGAAGAATGTTCCCTACTATGCAGAGACCAGGACAAAACTATTCTCCAAGCTTGATTTGGAGACAGGTCGAGGGAAGCAGGGAAGGGAAGCCAAAATAGCAGGATTACAATTTAGCAAACTTTTCCATAGAAAACCAACAAATTGCCAACAAATTGCTATGCTGATGAAGAGCTGCCCTGTTCTGCACTCCTTTAATGCCACTCTGTAAAATGAGCTGCCACTCAGGAGGTCCCCTGCTGAATTTTAAAAGGCTTTATGAAGGGAAAAAGAGAAAGAATGAAAGTTGGCTGCCATGGTCTTGTTTCTCTCTAGTCATTCTCTTACTCGGGACTTAAAACATAATACCAGAGAGCAAGCTGGTCTAGTGTGCAAGACAAGTGAATGTCCAGTGCAAATGCTGCTTAAAATACATTCCTCAAGAAGTTTTTTAAAAAGGAAAACATCTGCCTCTACTAGAGTCTCCTCCCCAAATAATATATAAGCAAATGGTGGCTCTTACATTGCACACATGCCTTTTCTAAATTGAGTTCATCTGACTTGGCCATGAGAAGTCTGGTACATTCTGCCAAGCTTAGAAGGATGGTCTACTTGGCTATAGTCATAATTCCATATGGCTTGTCTCAAAGTGTTATCTCAGAAATATATGCCCAGAGGACTAGGGCGACAAAATAGCATAGAAACAACTCTACTGCTCTTTAGCTCTTTGTCACCAGTGATAGGGATGGTAAAGAAAAAGGCCATGTCTGGTCTAGGGACATTTCTGTTTCAAACGAACCAAAGAGCTTCCTTCCTCTCTATCTTCTTCCCCTTAATTTAAGAAGGATATGGCTAGAGAGAAGAAAAAGAAAAGAACAGAGGTGTGGGCTAAAGTATAATGTTTAAAGGATATGAATAAAACTTACTAAAGATGTAAGTAAGTTAGATCACTGTGGGTTTTTCCCCAACTTGTCTACCAAGAATAAACTAAGGTCAATTTTAGATCCCAATTTAAGGACAGAAGGTTAATTTGGTAATTCAGGCAGAGAATTTATTGTAAATATACAATAAATTTTTAAATGCTTTTTTTGTTGTTGTTCTAAAAGTACATTTTCAACATTATAAGCTTATTAAAGTAGTTCTGATTTTTATTTACTTTAGGTGGCATATCTTTTAAAGAATTCTAATAGAGCTTGCTATTGCTCCACAGTCAGAAACCCTAGAAGGAAATTCTTGAAAAGGGTTTTGGACTATCTGATTACATACATCTCATTTCCTTCTTTCAACTTCCGGTAGTTCAGATGGGGTCTAAGGCCAAAGAGGCTTTGTTCCCTCTTCCCACACGTACCAAAAAATTTTTAAAGTGCTTTCATAACAACATCACACTGACTAGTTGCTGGAGTATGTAACAAAAAATAAAACAATAATTTGAACAACACTGTAAAGCTTACAAAGTATTTACCCAGATATAACTCTCAATCTAATGTAACTGTGTAGCAGACAGAACAGGTACTGCCTTGCTGAATTTATGACATGATCAATTTCACTAGTTCCTGAAACATGCTGCTCTAACACCAATGGATCACTTACCAACACACAGGATGTTAAAACAAAATCCTTGAGAAGTGGACTTGTTGACCAACTGGTCAGGGAGGCTGTCAAATCCAACATGGCCAGAAAGGGATAAATTTCGAAGCTCTTCATTCTGAAATTTCAAAGGAGAATGTTTGAGAATTCAAGAAATATGCCAGGTAAGCATCACACACATCAGAGACATCATTACTCTCTCCATTTCTTTTCTTTTTTTTCATCCATGGAAAAAGAGATTCCCTCTGTACCCACAACCTCCTTGAATTCTAAATTACATGCTCTTTCACAAAATCACACACAGCTTCACAAATTAGACTATATTCCAATGTAACTCCTTTCTTGTTACAAGTAATGGTCCAGGGAAATGTTAGCTTCCAGAAGTGGCTACACTTACAGAGATACATAGAAAAAACAGAACTGAAGTGACATGAAAAACTACCCATTTTGATCACTTTAATCACTTAAGCAAAACTTTCCATTGACTTTCAACACATAGTAAAAAAAATAAAATTATACTCTTCTAAATCCATAAAGAAGCTTTGAGAAGATCACAGCAGCGGATACCTGCTAATTACAATAATGGTAATGTCGTACCCACCCATAATGCAACAAGTTTAAAACTATACTGTACGTGAATTGGTCTCATATCCTCTTATTAGTTGTGCAGGCTGCAGGCTCTCCCATGGTAGATCTAGCACAGTTTCTGTACTCACTGGGCTTTCTCAGAGTTTACTGACGAAAACTGGAATAAGGTAGCTATCATACACTAAAAGAGTCTGGTGATTTATGCTGTTCTATAAGATGGTACCAAATGCCTTAACTTTGAATGCATGTCATGGGTATTGGTGACAATCTGTGAAGTTTTCATTTCTAGGTCAAATACGACCCTTCAACTTACAATACCATGGTATGGCTTGCACTTCAAGAAAGTAGCTGTTGGAAGTCTTGCAGATGACAAAGCTCCTGGTATTCCTGGTTAGGTTACCAATGAGTGGGCTTTATATTCACAATACTGAGTTTAGATGGCAAAATGAGCCTCAGAATGTCTTTCTTTTGTACTAAAAAGAAAAGGCTTTGCACAGGATCACACAGTCCATGTTTTTATGACACAATTTATTTTAGTAGTCAAGGACTGAGATGCCTGTTTCCAAATATCTATGTCTATGGTCACTCTAAGGAGCTCTGGTAGCGTAGTGGGTGAAGTGTTGGGCTAACTGCAATGTCAGCAGTTCAAATCCACCAGCCCATCAATGGGAGACAAATGAGGCTTTCTGCTCCTGTAAAGACGTACAGCCAAGGAAACCCTGTGAGTTGTAATTGACTCGAGTGCACGCTGCATTGGCAGCAGCATGGCAACTCTATCTGCAGAGAAATGTGACTCCATTAATGCAGAGAATTCAATAGCATGTTTCATGAGCAACGGAGTTCCTTACCAGCTCTAAAATTTGAATTCTGTGGAAAAAAAAGACTAAGAAACTACCACATTCCCTGGATACCGTGATGGCAGCTGCAGGTTTGAGGTCAACAGGGCAGTGAACAGATGCATCATCTATGAATAGTTTTCTTGAAACCTGCCAACAGTGAATATGAGACTCCAAAGTCGGCACTTATCCTTGAAAATGATGGTATGGGCAACGGCTTACTAAGTGGCTTCCAGAGCAGGTTCCAGTGGGCACAGTTCTGGTAGTGGGCCAAGCCTCCATCCCAACAACACTCCACTTCTTAGGGCCTCAGTGCTAGTACCTGCCCCTTCCTCTTCAGATACCTCAAAGATTCAGATAGTAGGTATTTTTAGGGTGTTTACCACATCCTCCAGGACTTGAGAGAGGAGGATTTGAAATGAGTTCTATGCTAAATTTAGAATTTCTTTCCATCACAGCTGTGCGGTGGCTGTTGTGTATCAGGCAAGGAGAAGAAGCCATTGTACCCGCCTTTACTTCTGATGCATCACTGACTAGAATGGACTGAAAGGAGACATGGCAAGGAAGAACTATCATCTGACAGTCCCTCTCCTCTCTGCCACAAGACTGCTTCTAATTTCCTGGGGGAGGACAGGAATGGTTTATTGCTCTTGATTCCGGATTGTTGGGGTTTTAGACACCAGATATCCTCCTATGAGCCAATCCTGGGAAAGAATCAGAGCTAGTAATTATAGCTCTCATCCCAGAACCCAGTGCTCAGCATCTCATATTCTCACTGTTTCCAAAACACAAGAAACCACCCACACACCCACGAAGTATTTTTATACCCATTGAAAGCCACATGCAGAATGAAAGGTTATAAAAGAGGTTTTTTTTTGTTGTTTTTGTTGTTTTTGAAATTTACAGTTATGCCTTTGGAATCTGCCTTCCAACTTTGTGAGACAAGACATGTATGTAAATTTTATAACGCAAATTTCTTTTCCAGTCATACTTCTCTGGCCCGTACCGCTCAAGCACCTTGAGAATCATGTAGCAGTATCCGGATGTAATATAAGGCAGAGGGAAATAGGAAGTTCTCTCTTTGGATTGTAAACAGGCTTTAAAAACTCGAGGGAGCAGCTCTGAGCAACTAGCCTCGTGACTCATGGAGCAGCTGAGTTGGACCCCTCCACTCCAGCATTCGATGGCGTGTATCATCGAATCCAAGGATTCACTTATTCATCACTATCCAAGGATCTAGGCTCCTTTTGACTCTATAAGTCTAATCTCAGGAAGCATATATACTATTCCCATGTCATTAACACTATCACATATCTGGAAAGGATTCCCCAAATTTTTATCTTTTACACCTGGGTTATAGGTCTGAACTCTTTTATACCTGGATTACAGGTCTAACTTTCAAACACATGGGCTGCCATGACTTACCCTCAAACTTACGTACACAAAACTGAAACCAAATTCCTCTATTCCAAACCCACTCCTTCTTCAGAGTTCTCTGTTTCTGTTCATAACATTTAATTATGCTTGAGACCACCCCTTCTCCTATCAGTTTCTACAACTTATGAATGCTACATCCTCCTACTCTCTATTCCTACTAATTCAGCAGCCTCCCAACTGGTCTCCTTGTTTTGTCACACTAGTCCTTTCTCTCTAAGTTGCTGCTAGAGAGTTCTCAATGCTCAAAGGTCCTCAATCCAAACACCCTGACCTAACATTTCAGACCCTCCCTGGACTGAACCCAAATCTCCATTCCCACTGTTTACCCATGGAGTCCTGGTGTGGCGCTGTGGGTCAATGCACCAGACTGCAAAGCTGTTTGAACTTCTAGGTCGGTGGTTCAAGCTTACCAGCTGCTCCTTGGAAACCCTATACAGGGTCGCTATGGGTTGGAACCGACTCAACGGCACTTAACAACAACAACCCATGGAGCACCTTATCTGCAGTTACACTTAATTACTTAATGTTCCTGGGACAAATCTAGGCCCCACCCCCACCTCATGGTTCACTCACAATATTTATTTCCTCTATCTGAAAGGGTCTTGTAGCCAATATTTACATAGCCCAAGTCCCACAGTCCACACACTCAGCCATCATTTTACTGCTATCCAATGGTTATGCATCAATTCCCAAGCAACCGAGGCAACACAATCATTTCAACCACTATAAAGAAACCCAACAGTCTGAAAAGGCTATGTTCTATATGATTCTAAATAGCTGATATTCTGGGAAGGACAAAACTATGTTGTTTTCATTATGTAGTATCAAACTGATTCCTACTCAATGACTTACAAGGCAGAGTTGTTGTTATGTGCCTTGGAGTCGGTTCCAACTCACAGCGACCCTGCATAGGGTTTCCAAGGCTGTAAATATTTACAGGAGCAGAAAGCCTCATCTTTCTCCTGCGGAACAGCTGGTAGTTTCGAACTGCTGACCGTGAGATTAGCAGCCCAATTCCTAACCACTACGCTACCAGAGCACCTTATACAGGGCAGAGTAGAACAGCATAATAGGATTTTCTAGGCTGTGACCTTCACCAGGGTGTTCTGATGTGGTACTATAGGATCAGCACTGGACTGCTAACCACAAGGTCAGCGGTTCAAATCTACCAGCCACTCCTCGGAAACCCTATACAGGGTCGCTATTAACAACAATCTTCACAGCAGCCAATTGAAAGGTCTTTTCTCCCACAGAGCAGCTGGTAGTTGAAACTACAAACCTTCAGTGAGCAGCTGAGTGCTTAACCATTGCACACTATACTGTATAAAATACCTGCTGCCATCGAGTCAATTCCAACTAATAGTGACCCTGTATAGGGCTTCTGGGGGAGTTCTGGTGTGGAGCTGTGGGTTAATGCACTGTACTGCAAGGTTGGTTTGAACTGCAAGATCGGTAGTTCAAGCTCATCAGCTGCTCCTCAGAAACCCTATACAGGGTCGCTGAGAGTTGGAACTGACAGACAGCACTTAACAACAACAACATAGGGTTTCTGAGACTGTATATCTTTATGGGAACAAACCGCTCCAATTTTTCTCCTGTAGAGATGCTGGTAGGTTTGAACTAACAGGCTTCTGGTTAGCAGCCTAAAATCACAGAGGTTTGGGCTGAGGCAGAAAAGATATATAGATGGAGCATAAAGTATCTTTCATATAGTCAAATTACACTATGTGGTACTGTAATGGTGGACACATGATACTATGCATTTGTTAAAACCCATGATTGTACAACATAAAGATGTAAACTATGGACTTCTGCTCATAATACTGCATCAGTGTTGGTTCATCAGTGTAACAAATGTCCACACCAATGAACAGGTTAACAAGAAGGGAGATTATATGCAGAGGGAACAAAGGGTTATGGAACTCTGTACTTTCTGCCCAATTTTTTTATAAACCTAAAACTGCTCTGAAAAATAAAATCCCTTTAAAGGGAAAAAAATCCAGTATGTTAAAATAGAAAGAAAAAAATCATTCTCTAAACCATAGTTCTTTGACAACCAAAGAACTGGAAGTTGAAGATTAGAATTGGCAAAGTAGCTTCGAGTATCTTTTCACTGGGCTTGGCAAAGCAAGGCCAGGCATGGATTTTCTAAGGCTATGGCCTAGGAAGCCCATAATATAAGGCTTAGTTTTGACCAGTTTAGGAACAGAAGTGTCAGCATGGAGCCACTAAGTAAGTAACTATAAGACCTTAACTG